GTGGAACGGGATATAAGGTTAGAATCAGCGGCGAATCGGAACATTTCTCAAAGCCCTGGCCGACAAAAAAGGTCCACTTGACTATTTCTGTCAGGCTCGGAGAAAATTCGGGTTGTTTTTGTGTCAGTCGGTAATTCAGCAACAGTGGCTCTAACGCAGCACTAGTTGACAGACATCATTACAGCGTGAAATCCAGCTTTACACCAAAGCCTAACCCGGTTCTGTGAGGAATTCTGTTCAGGAGGTCGCATTTCAGGTTCTTCACATCATATGTGACTGACTTTGACATTATAATAACGATCACACACTAGGAATGTTATAAAGCGCCTATATATATATATATATATATATATATTGGACAGTTTCTTTTGTATATTATATGACTTTATAAACTCCAACAACAATGTGCTTCTATTTTTTGTTTCAGGCTAAATCTACCCAAGACGTTGGCTGTCAGACTGATTTAGTAATCTGCAAAAATGCACTTGTCCAGGCTCATGTAAAGCCTTATCGACGTAGCAAAGGTGAATTATTTTTAATAATCTTCTATGTAAACATTTTATTATTACCTTCTAGTTTTAATTTGTTTTACAGATTATTGTTACACGTGATTTTATGCTATTTTAAACATTTATAAATGTGCTGCTTCTTTGTATTTTACATAGCCACACACTGTTAGACTTTACCTATCCACTTTACGGTAATAAACTGGCAACACTGTTGCCAGCATGATACCGTGATGCATGGTTAACGGTAACTTACCAATTAGTGTTGATCTCAGAATTATACCGTATATTTTATTGCTGTAAAAAACCCTCTGACTGCATGGCGGTGAGATACTGGCAACGCTGTTGCCAGTATCTCACCGGCAACAGTGTTGCCAGTAAAATACCGTAATATATTTCACAAGAAAATTACATCAATAACGCAATATTATACCGTGATTAATAAATATGTGTTGTGCTGTATGTTTATGGTATGTTACCGTAAGCTCATTTCAAGGTATGCTGCAATACCTTTTCCAGTGATTTACCGTAAACATACACTTTTGCCACTGAAAATAGTCAACGCTGTCAGAGGTTACTGTGTTTTTGTGGGCAGTAATTTACCTTTTTCATGTCATATTTTACTAAGATACGAGTAAACGGTAACATACTGTAATACAATAAAGGCTCCCAAAATAAAAGGTTTATACTTGTGCGTGCACACACACACACACACACACACACACACACACACACACACACACACACACACACCTGCACACTTGTTTGTGTAATAGTTGGATATATTTAAGATCAAGATGTAAACAAAATGCACTGGATTATCTTTTTTTATTTGATTGCTTCCATTAAAACAGAAAAACATAATGGTATAGTGAGAAGAAATTGGCAACTGATGGTCATAATGTAAAAAAGAAATGAATCAGTGACCTGTGTGACCTACAGCTGATAAATAGTCAGATGTATACAAAATGTCTACAAACCTTTCTTAAATGCAAGTAGTAGTTTACGTATTTGAATTGGTGTAAGAAAATGTTTGCGATCATCTGCCTCTACTAACAGAAGGTCACTTTTTTGTTGGACACCAATGACATCTTTCAGGTGGTCTGCGATGGACAGTACTTTCTGTCTCTCCAATTCCGGCAGGATGCATGTGATTTCATCTTCAATTTCCATCACTGAAATATAAGAGGAAAAAATCGTGAAGAAACTGAATGGTGCAGGGAGACAACAAAAAGATCTGCCATGTTATAAAGGGGTATTGGGTAATAATCCATCAGACTGTCAGCATTTACACACAAACTTCTGTCTGTAGGGCAGTGTAGGCAATAAAGTCCAAGGTCAATAAGGCGTACTGACTGATGCAATTCTAGCACAAAGTACAATTTAGAATCATTAACAAGTATCACAACGATCTACCCAAACTCAGTGCTCTCATTAGTGTGATCTACTACAACAACATGACCTTTGACATATTTGGTACCTTTGTAGACAACTGCTGACACATCTAGCATGTTATGATTAGAGACATTTGCTTTTGTCACAGCATCCTGAGTGGCAGAGTTGTAAAGATGATGCCTATAATCATTCACTTCTCCAATGATTTGAATTGTAGGTGGAAATATTTGCCCTGGCATAATACTTTTTTTCCATCTTTAATATGGATCCTCAGATGGACACAAAGAGTTTTAATATTTTGTCCAACATACCCACATCCAGGAACTTGTCAGCTAAGATTTCCAGTGAACTTCCAGATCTCCTCCTCAGTGTTCTCCCCTCGTCTATGATTTCTGTGCATATGGGAACGAAAGGCAGTGAATGTTTTAAAAGTGGCTTTACAATTCTCAATTCCACAAGAAAACATATAATTTGCATTGTGTTTATGGCTTCTAACATGTGAACTGAACAATATAAATTTGTGTGCACGGAATCTATAATATTTACAGAGAAACATTTTAAGTACCCTATATCTTCAATAGTTTCTTTTCCAGGGATATTTTAAGCAATACAACAAAAATGCATAGAAAACTAAACAGTACCTTAACAGTAGGCTAAATAGTCATAAAAGGCTCAAATATGCCTAAAATGTAACATCCCCTCAAAAAACGGAAAGTAGTATAGCTTTCACACTGGCCACAAAAAGGAAAATTATTTGACCTCAATATCGGAGTTAAACCTCTCCAACCTGTTCTGCATATCACAGCATGCCCTGCCAGCAGCCTTCACCTGCAAACACTTACTGCCAAATTAGCATTTGTTTTTTTTTGCTCCTAACTTTATTGAAAACAAATGTCATACACAAGAGAAGTCAAGGAAACAAACTGACTTTGATAGCGGTCCCCATTACAGAAAATGTGAAGCAAATCATTTTACCTTTGAAAAGAAAAAAAAAGAAAAAGAAAAAATGATCAAGAGCAAAACAATAAGTAGCAGAAACATTTTGGCACAAGCAGTTTTCTTATTCATATCTGAGATGTGCTTGAGTGACTAAAAATATAATGAAAAGTTATTCAAGAAAAGGATAAACAGAGAACAGTTTTTCCAATTACATGAATAAATAAATTATTTACATAGAATATTTACAAAAAGAAAACATCAGATATTTTAAGTAAAATCTAGCTTTGGCTATCAGTCCAAAATACAATCACATGCTGACAATTGAAAAATAGATTATGCATTGTTTGTAGATCTTAACAAATTTGGTTTTAAGCATCACATTACTTTGCATGGCAGCTGAAAATTAATCACCTTGTTTGTCAGTGTTTAAAGCATTCGGGTAACTTCAATAAGGTGTTTACACATTTATGGACAGGGACCATTTTGCAGAATTTGCATGAAGATCACAGCTATAGATAGTTTAAAAGCCAAAACATGCAGTAAAATACTTACCAGACTGACCAACTCCCCTGTAATGGGTCACATTCGGGATACGCGTTTGGAAAATGTTTTTATTTCTTCTTTTCCTAAAAGTGCAAGACAACGATCATATATTGTGTTTCCAATGTTGTTGTTTTGAAAGCAAATATCCAGGTTGTAACAGGTGAAAGTGATGAATTCTTTTTCACTTAGCTAATTCTCGGAAACCCAACAACATAAAACATACCTAGGGGTGGAAAATACCTTTGATGAGATCTTCCTTGGCCCATTTCCTTAAGATTCCATCTATAGCTGTCTGAATTTTTTGTTACATCCATAGTGAACACAATAGATAGACAACAGCATAATTTTGGTGGCTGTAATTATCCTATAATATTGCTGTGAAAACATGCAAAAAAAAAACAACTGGTGGAATTTTGAAATGATCAATATTTTATGGAATATTTTACATAAAATTTCTTACAATTATAAAGTCGTAAACTGGTATCATGTCAGTTTTTTGATAAAATTCTGTAAACATTTATCAGTTTAAATCGCCCACCAGGCAGATGTCAATTACTGTCATTTAGGCAGTAGGACTAATAGATTAGCTTAAATATGATTTTATCAATCTGAGATGATTTTTTTATTTACAATGTAGGCTTGGTTAAAGCATCCAATCTTTTGTTTTATATTATAATTAAAATATTTTTAAAGAGATTTTAGTGAGTGTTTACATACTGTATGCTTTTATAATAGCTCAATTAAAACATTTATTCTTGGAGCATTTTCTCTTTACTATGGGGCATAGTGTTTTTTCAAAGAATTGTTTTGGTAATGCACTCTGAATGAAGATTTGAGCAAGGTATTTTAAAATGTCCACTGAAAAACCACAGACAGAAAAATGTAAGAGGTATACCAAATTTTTATATTTGCTGTACTTTACCTGTTTCCTTTAAAACAGTGACATACCATGAAAAATATGTGATGTTGTTGAATTTACTCACCATTACATGCCAAATACAGTACTACACTGCTAAGATTTTAGCTGTATTTTCCTTTTGATTTTACAGTAATATACTATAGGAATGACAGCACAGTCTAACAGTGCATGGAAATTACAGTACTACACTGCAAACACTTTTAGAAGTATTTTACTGTTGATTTTACAGTAATATACTAGCAAATGCCAGCAAAGTCTAACAGTGCACAGTTTAGAGCTCCCAGCCGCAGTGTGTCTTGTGACACAGGTACCGTGACGGAAATTCATCTTCCACAAAGTCCCAGAGCTGCGTCCACACCCCAAGGTGTCCCGTTTGTACCGGTCGTTGTGTTGTGAACACGACAACAGTCGGCACACTGCTCCGTGTGACACAACGGTGTTCATCCTGTGAGCACTACAATGAATGGTCCAGTCAGCCCATGGTGAACAGCATCCCAGCAGGAAACCTCCAGCTCTGTGCTGCTGTCCTTTTCACAGGCTCATCATTTAGCCAGATTTCTAAGGTATAGGCCAAAACTGTTTAGGTTAGTTTTGATAAGGTCTGTGCGTCTCTCATTTCATGTCGTAACTTTTCATATTTTAGTTCCTGGGTGCCTTCAATGTGCAGGGACTGTCCAAGCAGTCATTCTGTTGGCATCAGGCAAAGCTCTTAATTCCAACAGTGAGCTGGCAGTGGCAGCTAGAGCAAGCTGATATCATCCAGGAGGCTACTGAATCTGGACCTGTGACTCTTGGTGGTGACATGCGAGCTGATTCACCTGGTGAATACGTTTAAATTTATTTATTTTATTCCTTTGCTATCAAATGTAAATTAAGTAATAACTTGCATTTCTTGAAGGACACTCAGCCAAATATGGCAGCTACACCATGATGGATCTCAAAAGAAACAAAGTTATTGATATCCAACTTGTACAGGTGCAACATTACCTGATGATTCCAAAACATTTAATGGTTAATTATTCACAGATCAATGGAGAATTATGTTTATTTTCAGAGCAATGAAGTTGGGAATAGTGTGCGAATGGAGAAGGAGGGATTTGTGCGAAGTCTGAGCACACTTTTGGAGAGGGGGGTCGATGTGCAGCAAGTCGTGACTGACCGCCACACAGGAGTGCAGATGTATTTGAGGGAGGAAAAAAAGGAAATCAGTCACTACTTTGACCCCTGGCACATGGGAAAAGGTAATCTTTGGGGATGTATATAGTGAATATTACAGGATTTTTTTTTCTATTTTAAATGTGGGTCTATTTGGCTCTCCAGGAATTGGTAAGAAAATCGAAGAGCTGGGGAAGAGAAAGACGACCCAGGATGTGAGACTGTGGAAGCAAAGTGTGGTGAACCACCTCTACTGGTCAGCATCCAGTTCCTCCTCAGGACAGGAGGCAGTTGCAAAGTGGACTTCAGTTGCCAACCACATCCAAAATGTGCACAGCCATGACAACGCCCTGTTCCCTAGCTGTCTGCATGCACCTCTGGATGGAGAACAGGCAAGACAGTGGCTCAAACCAAGTAAGTGTAGCATGTACTCATTACAGCTGAGCCTTTACTGTTTGGTTTATTTACATTTAAAACACGTCACCCCACAACAGAATATTTGTCTTCACCTCCTTCAACATGGAGAAATATTTTTTGAGCATGTGAGTAACAGACATCACATGTAGCTGCTAAGGTCACACACCACCATTTGGCCAACAGCAATTAATTACTAAGAATAAAATGCTGTGCAGAAATTTAAACACACGAGTGCGCCACACAACTCATGGTTTTAGGCAGAACAGCCATAATTGACATAATACAGGGTATCCGCGGGTCCTTAAAAAGTCTTAAAAAGTCTTAAATTAGCTTTTCCTAATTTAAGGCCTTAAAAGTCCTTAAAAATGACAAATAATCCTTAAATCCAGTTTCCAAAGGTCTTAAATTACCAAAGACCCAATAAACAAGCTTCTTTTATTTCTATGAAAATTTCGTGAATTTCTAGTTAGTGTTCAGCATTTTTTGTGTATGATTTTGGCGTAAGCAGAACCGTACGCAGTCAGTTGGTTGTGAAAGGGGGCTATTTTTTTAGTTGAGCACATTAGCTGGTTAAGCTAGTGGGAGCTTGCGCCATGGGGAAGGGAAAAGTTAATAGTAACTGGATGGCTAATCCCACGTAAGCGACGTGGTTAGCACCGGTTCCAGGCAATAGCTGGAAATTATCGCTTAAATTTAATTTTTAAAATAGCTTAAATTTGGTCAAAGTGGCCTTAAAAAAGGTCTTAAAAAGTCTTAAATTTGGCTCCCTTAAATCTGCAGATACCCTGATAATATGTACTAAAATGCCGTAAGTAATGACCACACCTGTCTACAGCACTATTAGTCACTCTTTCATACATTTGTCATCTAAAAATGTAAGCTATGGGTAACTTTTTCTCAATGAAATAATAGCAACATTCTAAAGTTGATCAAATTGTAATTTTTGTAATTAACATTTTCTACGTAGGCACAGCATCATGTGAGAAGCTCACTGCCATTCTGTTAGCTCCACGGTTTGTGAAGGACGTAGAGAAGATAAGCCCTCAGTACCACACATCCACCTTGGAGGCTTTCCACAGTCTCATCATCAGATTTACTCCAAAAAGTCAGGTCTTCTCCTTCAAAGGAATGCTGTCTAGGTAATGAATACAACAAATGTTCAAATTAATGCCTCTAATTGTTCAAATTTTAGCATGAAATGTAGAATTTTGCCTCAAATCTACATGGTTTGTTTATTTGATTATTTCAGATTACAAATTGCTGCAATGCACTATAATGAAAATGCAGCACGCTCACATGCAGCAACAGCAACTGGTGAGCTGAGATATGCTGTAGTGTACCCAAAGTACAAACGTGGAGACTACACAGTGAGAGCCCTGAAGACCAATCCAACCTCATGTATGTCATATATTGTATGATAAAACCAAAATGATGGTCATGGAGAGCTATTGTAATACTGAAAACCCTTTTCCAGTATATGTGCACAAGCTTATGGACCTGCTGTTCGACTCTGTGGTGGTGGATCCTCTCCCATATCAGGAGTACTCGGACAAAATTACGGTTCCAGAACCGCTCTGTGCCCAGTTCCAAAGACCAGATAAACGGGATGCTGTGAGCAGGCACAGGTCCAGGTTTTAAAGTGCACGTCAGGTGAGCTACACAGGAGATTGTAATTATTAGTTAGTACTCTACTCTGTGTGGTTTCTCCTTTTCTCCTCCTCAGCCAGGCAGCTCACCACTGTACGACAGAGGAGTTACCTGTCGTCATTATGGATCTTTATGCTCATCCACTCGTGACTCATGCTGTCCACCTCCCAGATGTCTATTGATCTCTACAACCTTTCTGCTCTGTGGCTCCCATACAACTTGAAAATCTTGGCCGTATGTAACATAGCAAAACTCACCAGTCTTGCTTTTGTAAGTCATACTAGTCATACTAATATTACTTTTTCCTTAGAGCCTCCTGATCTTGTAACAGAAAAACCTGTGCTCCCGGGATCCATCTCCACGTTTGTCATCACAGTGAAAGCTACCTCCAGTCTAAGGAACCTATGAAACATCACTGTTGGCCCAACCTCTCCTCACATGGCTCCAGAATCTCTGCTTGTGGTTTAGAGTTTTGTCAAAAATCTTGAAAGTTATGATCAGATTGTTATCTAACATTGTCTTAGTAGTAGCTATAATAAATGTTATCTTTAAAGCGCAATTGTGTCTTTTTAAATACAATTATATTGATATTTTGATGTGTATAAATACATATATCACATTTATTATCATTCATTTTTACCTAATTGAACCTGCTCTAGAATAGACTTCATTAATCACACAGGGTGTAAACTCACTTGTTACAGCAGCATTAATTAACCCCGAATTAGAACCTTACTGTTGTAAGAGCTCATTTGAAAGTATGTGGCTATATGTGTGTATATATAAATAATGTCAAAGTGTAAAGAAGTGCATTTACCGTTTTGTGATTTATGCAGCTTTTTATGGACAGGAATCAATACAGGAAATATATATTATAACATTTATTTAATCAAAAAAATATATATTAGTTCAGAGGAGGGAGGAATCCTTTGTATGCACCGTCTTCTGGGAACTCCTGCCTTATTCTGGAGACAGCGCATGACGGGATCACAACACGAACGTGCTGTCCCAGGTAACCCCAACACCACCTGACCACATTCCGGTACGCCAGATGTCTGTAACAGCTGAGAAAGAGGTGGTATGAGTTATAAAGTATTCATAAAAAAAGTAATTTGACAGTTGTCTTACCTGTTGAGCGTAGTCTCCTGCATCTCCCCATAGAGTTGCAGAAAGGTGCCATAAACTGCCTGCAACACGTAGGGATTCAGAGCAACAGCCTCAAAACCAGGATGCTCTGTTATGCAGGAGGTTACACCCACCTGCTGACACCTGAGCATTACCTATGACAAAGAACAACTGATATCAGGTCTATAAGAGTTCAATATTAGTATGATGTTAGTGATTGTGTAACAAATGTGTACATTACAGAATGCTTTTCTCATGGTGGGGTACTTTTATTTTTATACCTTGGGCGTTTCTCTGCAGCACACATTTTCTCTGGCAGACAATGATGTGCAGTGGCCGTAGGTGCACCTGTCGAGGCAGTCATACAATATTACTTTTAGCTAAGCTAAATATAGCTAGCTGTGGCTAAAAGCTACTTACCACTCAGAGACTGGACCCATTCGATGCCTTGATACTCCTGCTGGCTCGACTCCAGGGGCCTCTGACAACTCACGAGCTAGTGGCTCAAAAAGATACGGTTCAGGACCGCTTGCTTCCCCCAATAAGCCCTCCTCCCTATCCTCTGGGGAAGAAGGTGGGGAAAAGTCCTCCACCTCGAATGACTGCTCTGAGCTAGTGTCGCTCTCCGTCGCCATCTGTATTCAAATTTCAGTATGTCAATCACGGCCGTAGCTCCGCCTTCTCGGTCTTACAGGAAACGCCTCTTTGGGCCGCATTTTTCAAATATGAAATGTGGGTGGAGTAAGACTCTGAGGAGGCTGTTACCACTACTTTAAAGCCTGCCGCACATGAGGGCCATCTGCTGAGCAAGCGGTCATACCTCGCCATGTGCGCCTGATTTTCACTGAGTTTTCCGCATCACGAGACGCTGAGGTGAATATCTGACCAGTTAAGATATTTTCCGCCTCACAGGGGTAAAAACTCGCTGTGTGCGCATTACTGAGCTGCTTGTTGAGCTGAAATATTCTAGTGGCCAATCAAAGCACGTTCTCCGCTCACATGACCCCAAGATGGCAGCCCCCTGTCTGCATGTCAGAAAAGAAACAAAACAGAGACAGAGCTGGAAACGGAGGAAATGCCTATCCTTTTTTCTTGATGAAACGTCGCCGCCACCGGCATTTCAAGGTTAGGAAAATATGGGTACGGTAGCTGGAAAGATGGCCCAGGCAAGGAGTTTATGCCAATTTACTCCAAGAGATGCACCTGGAAGACCCATATTCCTTCCGAAAGGGTAATGGAAACAGTGGGCCCATTGATCCGCAAGGTACCGTTTTGTTTATTTTTCAGACATTCAGACAGGGCAAGGGGCTGCATCTGAATACATCTTGGGGTCATGTGAGCGGAGAACGTGCTTTGATTGGCCACTAGAATATTTCAGCTCAGCCAGCAGCTCAGTAGTGCGCACACAGTGAGTTTTTACCCCTGTGAGGTGGAAAATATCTAACTGGTCAGATATTCACCTCAGCGTCTCGTGAGGTGGAAAACTCAGTGAAAATCAGGCGCACACAGCAAGCAATCTGCTGAGCAAACAGTCATTCGAGGCCGTTTGCTCAGCTGATTGCTCTCATGTGTGGCAGGCTTAAACATCTTGCCAAAGGTTTGTAGTTGAAACAATGGCACATTTTCCAAAATGTTCATGTGTGTTGTCCTTGTGTTGTCTTTATGCATAAATAAATAGAATCAATTGTTCAAATTTACAATACTGGGACTTACCACACATGTCCTCAAAGACCCAGAGGTTTCCTCACGTAGATAGACTGGAAGGGGAATGGAAAACAGTGGTATGCCTTGTGTGGACATCATGTAATTCCTAAGAAGATTATTAAGAGTGTAAATACTGTCAAGTTTACTAATCAAACTCAATGCCAAACTAATCTGACCAATTTTCCAAGACAGTGATATCTGCATCTAAATCCAATGATAAACTGCTGAATTCAAAAGTTAATTTGAAGTGTTTAACATTACATAATACGGAGGGGTATTAGGGCCACTGAAGAAAAAATTTCTGAAAATAAATAAAGTCAGAATTCTGACATGTATCTCAGTATTCAATTGTTTCCTTCAGTGGCCCTAATACTGCCTTATTGCCTAAGAGTATTAGAGTCACTGAAGAAGAAAAAAATAGAGAAAAAAAATTCAGATAATTTCAAAATTCTGGGATTAAAGTCAGAATTCTGACTTTTTTCATAGACCTAAAACAAAACGAACAAAAAACTATTTAGGAATTTTTTTGTAAAAAAAAACAAATAAAAAAAATAAATAAAAGCCAGAATTTTAAGATTTAATTCAGAATTCTGATCCCCCCTCATAATCTTCCCCAATTTCCCTTTTTTTTATTTTAGGTACCAGTCAGAGCTCTGAGATTAAACTCAGATTTATGACTTATTTTCTCAGAATTCTATATTTTTTTTCTTCAGTGGCTCTAATACTCATAGCATAAAGACATTACCTGTAAATTGTATAT